GTTATAATATTCAAGGGATGTTCTCTTCAGCTTTTGGAGAGAAAAGTACTAATCCTGATTTTATTAACGCTGTATATAGTTCAGATATAATTATTTTACTTGAGACATGGAGTCGTTTAGACTCTAAAACCTACACCCCATCAAACTACAGAGAGCTACGTATACCCTCAATCAAACAGCCTAATGTTAAAAACGGAAGAGATTCTGGAGGAATCATAGTTTGGTTCAAAGACCATCTGTGGCAGTATATTCAGCCCATGAAAAAGGGAAAAACACATATTTGGATAAAACTTAAAAAAGAGATTTTGTGTTTAGATGAGGACCTGTACCTGTGTGCCACATATATCCCCACATATGAATCGCCTTATTATAACGAAGACATCTTCTCAACCCTGCAATCAGAGATCAATTACTTCCAGTCTATAGGTTCAGTTCTATTAATGGGGGATCTGAATGCCAGAACGGGGAAGGAAGTGGACTACATCAGCTCAGATGGAGACAAATATATAAACGGTTCACTTAATCATCAACAAAAACGTTTGGCCAAAACACGCCAGAATTATGACAACACAATTAACAGACATGGAAAACAAGTCCTGCAGCTCTGCAAAAGCCTGGGTCTTTACATAGTTAATGGCAGAGTAAAGGGTGACTCTCTGGGTCGATTTTACATACTGCTCACATCTAGGCAGCAGCAGAGTAGATTACGCCATCACAGATATAGACCAAAGTAAGATCCATTATTTCACAGTGATGCCACAGCTGCCATTATCAGACCACAGTCAGGGAATCATCTTCCCTCTTCAGAACAGAAAGTTAAATCATATCCGCTCCCCCCCCAAAATTTATATGGAGTAAAGACAGTCCTGCCCAGTATGAAGCTGCGCTCCACAGCACCCAAGTAGAGAACATGATAGACTAATTTCTCTTGACTACATTTAGTGAAGAGAAGAGAAGTATCAATTTAGCAACTGAACAGTTAACTAAAATCTTTTCTACAGTGGTCAGAAAAAATTACAGATGTAAAAAAGAAACCGCTAAAGATGCTTGGTTCGATAAAGAATGCCAAAAACGAAGAAAAGAATTGTGATCATTATCAAATAAAAAAAAACAGAGACCCAGCAAACCAACAAATACGAGCCACATATCAACAAACCCTTAAACTATACAAGTCACTGCTAATACAGAAGAAAACTGATCACAAAAATAAAAATAAACAAAATTGAAGCAGCAATCGATCAAAATTCTTTTTGGGACTTATGGAACAATTTAGACAAATCCAAAGAGGCCAAACACCTTCCAATCTATGACTGTCCTTCCAATCTGGACTGAACATTTCAGAACACTATTCACAAAGCGAAACAACCCTCGCCCAAAAACATCTGACCTCCCAACTAAATAACCTGGAATACACTATAAAAGACCGGCTAAATCCTTTAGACAAGCCCATAGAATTAACTGAACTGACAGAGAAGATGAAATCCCTAAAAAATAAGAAATCAAGTGGCTTGGATGGAATATCTAATGAAATGCTAAAACACAGCAGCCCCAAACTGAGAGCTGCTATCCTGACATTATTCAATCTCTTATTAAAATCTGGACACTTTCCTGAGATCTGGAAAGAGAACGTGATAACCCCAATTTTTAAACAAGGTGAGAAGTACGACCCAAATAATTATAGAGGCATCACAGTGAGCAGTAACCTCGGACAATCAGAGCACACCTCGCTTTTCAGACCGATGAGCTTTGTAAAAATCGACGCATTTCAGAAAGGCGGGGCATAGAGGAGAAACAATGTACAGTATGTGGAAAATAATGTGTTTTTTTAACCTTAAACCGCATAAACACATTTCATTACACCAAATACACAAAATAATGTTCTTTTTAGCAACATCATATGACCCCTTTAATATCTCTATTAACGAACATCAGCACTTGATAAGTCCTCTTGTCCTGGTCTGACCCTCGAGGGCAGAGAAATCAAATGCCTCCTGTATGCTGACGATCTTCTGCTCTTGTCACCTCATGAAGAAGGGCTACACGAAAGCCTCTCAATTATAGAAAATTACAGTAGAGACTGGGCCTTACCAGTAAACATGGAGAAATCCAAAATTATGATCTTCCAGAAAAAGCCTTGCCTTACTAACAAAAAATATAGTTTTACAATTGGGGGAACACTTCTTAATCATGTCACATGTTATAATTATTTGGGTCTCACTATCTCAGCTTCTGGTCAATTTGATCTGGCAATAAAACATCTGACCGATAAGGCATGCACACTCTCAGAAAAAAAGGTACAGAAGCTGTCACTGGGGTGGTACCTTTTCAAAAGGCACACCTTTGTACCTAAAGAGTCCATATTGGTACCTTAAAGGTACAAATTAGTACGTAAAGTGTACACATTAGTACCTAAAAGGTACAAAAGTGTACCTTTTGAAAAGGTACTGCCCCAGTGACAGCTTCTGTACCTTTTTTTCTGAGAGTGTAGGGCTTAATACACTATAAGAAAATCTTTGTTCAAATTCAACCCACCTATTAAATTATGGCAAAAAATCTTTGACAGCATCATCAAACCCATTCTTCTATACGGTTGTGAAATCTGGGGCCCCAAATTTAAATTAAACTATACATCTTGGGATAAAAACCCCACTGAAATGTTCCACCTGGAGTTCTGCAAGAACATCCTGGGACTCCACAGAAACGCCCCTAGTCTCGGCTGCAGGGCAGAATTGGGCAGATTCCCCCTTCTAGCAGAAATCCAGAAGAGAACAGCCAAGTTCTGGTTCCATCTATCAGACACACTGACAGATGATTACCATCACTGCGCTCTTACTTACAGGGCAGGACACCCAGAGAGTGACCCCATGCACTATTTAGTGGAAAAACACATCATCAAACCCATTCTTCTATACGGTTGTGAAATCTGGGGCCCCAAATTTAAATTAAACTATACATCTTGGGATAAAACCCCCACTGAAATGTTCCACCTGGAGTTCTGCAAGAACATCCTGGGACTCCACAGAAACGCCCCTAGTCTCGGCTGCAGGGCAGAATTGGGCAGATTCCCCCTTCTAGCAGAAATCCAGAAGAGAACAGCGAAGTTCTGGTTCCATCTATCAGACACATGATTACCATCACTGCGCTCTTACTTACAGGACAGGACAGGACACCCAGAGAGTGACCCCTTTAACCATTTAGTGGAAAAACACAAACTTTTGCGCGTCTTAACTGAATTGTTGAACTGAGTTGAAGAAATTGGAAAAAATAACCCAGGAAGAATACATACATTGTGCCTGAATTATAGCCCAAATTGTGCCTGAATTCCAGCAAGCGAGCCACATAGACAAACTCTGTTATATTTTGGGAGAGAAAGAAAAGTGTATCCACCTGGCAGCGCAGTATGTATCCTCCTGCCATATTATGAGGGACGAAGGCTAAAAGGCTAAACCCCGTTTTCTTTATCAATGCTCTCTGTAAATAATTACCTTGTATTTGCTGTTTTTTTGTGTTATGTGATAATATAATGTACAATATGGTCATGAATAAGTTTTTTTTTTTAATCTATCTATATGCCTGTATAACTTGTTCGCTGTTTATTGCTTTGGCAAAATTGTGCTGTTCCACAGTCATGCCAATAAAGCTCATTTGAATTGAATTGAGAGAGAGAGAGTTCTGTAAGAGGGGGAGAGAGGGAGAGAGAGAGCACACTGACTAAAAAGATTTCCATTTGAAATAAATGCTCTTCGTTTTAAACTTTTTATTCAAAGAATCCTGAAAAAAGTATCACAGGTTCCAAAAAAATATTAAATCAGCACAACAGTTTCCAGCACTGATAATAAATCAGCATATTAGAATGATTTCTGAAGGATCATGTGACACTTTAGACTGGCGTAATGGCTGATGGAAATTCAGCTTTGCATCACAGAAATTAATTAAGTCATGCCAATAAAGCTCATTTGAATTGAATTGAGAGAGAGAGAGTTCTGTAAGAGGGGGAGAGAGGGAGAGAGAGAGCACACTGACTAAAAAGATTTCCATTTGAAATAAATGCTCTTCGTTTTAAACTTTTTATTCAAAGAATCCTGAAAAAAGTATCACAGGTTCCAAAAAAATATTAAATCAGCACAACAGTTTCCAGCACTGATAATAAATCAGCATATTAGAATGATTTCTGAAGGATCATGTGACACTTTAGACTGGCGTAATGGCTGATGGAAATTCAGCTTTGCATCACAGAAATTAATTATATTTTAAAGTATATTAAAATAGAAACCATTATTTTATATTGTAATAACATTTTGCAAGATTACCGTTTTGATAAAATAAATGCAGCTTTGATGAGCGTAAGAGACTTCTTTAAAAAAACATTACAAGTCTTACTGATCCCAAACTTTTGAGCGGTAGGTGTATGCATGTGTGCATGCATGCATGATATATATATATATATATCAATTACATGCATAAATAGCTCACATCAGTTTTAAGGGACTGTTTTGGGGAAGCTTCAGAAGAGGATTTGACGTTAGCAGGCTTGGAGTCCTGAGCCGGGGACTCAGGTTTTTCAGGTTCATCTCCATCCTAAACATTGACAAGTCAGATATTTAAAAGACATTTATACAACCTAGTTAAACACAATTGTTTAACCTAGTTAAACAAAAACATTTCACATCTGAGAAATTGATTATCTGTCCAGCTAAACCGAAAATAGCCCTGTTGCAGAACTGTGGCAGCTAATGATAATTTCACTTTAAAGGGGTCATTAACTGAGAAATCAAAATTCCCTTGATCTTTTGATAAATAGGAGGTCTTTGTGCCATAAAAACATTCTGTAAGTTTCAGAATTCAAAACTTTGTTAATCTGGAGGACTAATAATTTCTTACTGTTAAATTCTAACACTAGCTTGCTCTATTCTTTTTCTATTCTATCCGTTTTATTTATTATATAATTAAAACCCTTGCTACGTGTACTAGGTTAAGCTAACTGAGACTTGTTATAGCACTTGCTTATCATTGCTCTTTTGTTGATTTTGATTGCTTCCATTGTCCTCATTTGTAAGTCGCTTTGGATAAAAGCATCTGCTAAATGACTAAATGTAAATTCTAAAAAAACAGAGGTGTTAAATATAGGACCAAAAACCTCCACATATAATAACCTAGAACACTGTCTAACACTTAATGGCTGCTCTGTCAATTCTTCATCATCAGTTAGGAACCTAGGTGTGATATTTGATAGTCAAGTCAATTTATTTATAGAGCACAACTTCAACACAACCATCGTTGATCCAAAGTGCTTTACAATAAAAGGTTAGATAAGAAGCAACAGAGATCAAAATTAAAAGGGGAAAACAAAAATAAATAAATAAAAGTACACACGCACACACACACACACACACACACGCAAGGGTGTAAAAATGACTCTTTAAATTTGATTTAAAAACACCGAGCAATGGAGAGGCCCTGATAGTAAGGGGTAAACTGTTCCAGAGTTTAGGGGCAGCAACAGCGAAAGCTCGGTCACCTTTGGATTTACAGAGAACGAGGGACAGATAAAAGCAGCTGGTTACAAGATCTTAATGACCTAGAGGTTGTATATGGCTGGATAAGATCACAGATATAATCTGGGGCTGACTTTTGCAATGCCTTAAGAAGGATCTTAAAATCAACTCTGAATTTGATAGGGAGCCAGTGCAATGAAGCAAGAACAGGAGTAATATGCTCCCTCTTTTTTGTTCCCGTCAACAATCTGGCTGCCGCATTTTGAACCATCTGAAGCAGAGATAGAGTGCTTTGAGGAAGGCCGACATACAGAGTGTTTCAATAGTCCAGCCTGGAAGAGATTAGTGCATGGATGACAATTTCGAGATCTTTTCGAAAGAGAAAGTTTTACTTACGCAACAGATGAGGTTGAAGCTACTCTTTACAACCGTGTTTACATGCTTGTCAAATTGTAGTAATGGATCGAAATAGACCCCTAGATTTTTTACATGGTGTTGTAAGTTATCACTAAGGGAACCTAACCTACTTGTAAGAGTAGTATTAAGTGCAGCGGGCTTAGCAGAAGCACCTCAGTTTTGTCAGTGTTTAGTTGCAAAAAATTATTAGCCATCCAAGTTCTCACTTCGTCAAAACATGAGAAAAGTTGTAAAGAAGAGTCATTTTCAAGTTTGATTGGAAGGTAAAGTTGGAGGTCATCGGCATAGCAATGATAGTTAATATTAGATTTCTGGAGAATGGAGCCTAGGGGAAGCATGTAGAGCGAGAACAATAAAGGGCGAGGTGAACGACCCGATATTTACTGAAAAAGTCCTACCCTTTAAATAAGAGGTGAACCACTGTAATGCCGTGTCTTGAACCCCTACTACACATTTGAGTCGATTCAAGAGGATGTCATGGTCAATAGTGTCGAAGGCTGCACTCAAATCTAACAATATCAGAATGGCAGAGGACCCCAAATCAATGGACAGCAAAAGATCATTCATAACGTTAAGCAAGGCCGACTCTGTACTGTGAAGTGCTCTAAAACCAGATTGGAACTTATCCAGAATGTTAAAAGCATCCAGGTAAGAAGTAAACCGTGATAGCACTGCTTTCTCTAAAACCTTAGAAATAAATGAGAGTTTAGAAATCAGCCGGTAGTTACTAAGAACAGATGGATCAAGGTGAGATCTTTTTAACAGGGGCTGTACAGAAGCATGTTTAAAAGACTCTGGGAAAACCCCACTAGTCAAAGAACTGTTTATAATAGTTAAAAGGGCAGGGCTAATAGTGTCCAACAACACCTCTCCAAGCAAACGGCCAGGCAGTACATCGAATTGACAACATGCAAATTTCATCTTAGAAATTAATGCACTAAAATGAGATGGAGTCACTGGTTTAAAACTAGTGAAACTGCTAGAAGGAGCGATCAGGTGAGAATGAACCATGTCAGGAGGAGAGAGGTGAGCTCTGATATCTTTCTGTACAAAGAAACCTAAGAATTCTGCACAGGTCTCGAGATTGCCAACGGGCTGAGCAAGCGGCTGGATTAAGAACTGAGTTTATAGTTTTAAAAAGAACTTTTGGCCTGTTTGCATTCATGGCAATCAAATTTGAAAAGTATTGAGATTTTGCAATCGCTGACAGACTTTTGATAGGTGGTTAGACAATCTTTCAAAATTTGGTAAGACACCTGAAGCCCATCCTTTTTCCACCTGTTTTTAGCCAAGGTTGAGGACTAGATCTAGCTTGCCGCTTTCTAGACTTCAGCGGAGCAACAGTATTCAATGCAGTAGAACAAGCAGAGTTGAAAATGAGAACCAGCTGATCACTGTTCATGTCAGGTGACAAAGAGACCTCAGAATTAGAAGAAAAAAAAAAAGTAAAATTTAGAGAATTCTAGTGCAGTGGTGGCGTGAAAAACACGAGAGCTGCATACAGGCTGAGAGAGGATGGGCTGTACATATGGGACTGCAGGTTCAAATAATACAGAACAGTGATCAGAAATACCAGCATCGAGTACTTCACATGAGTGTACAGAGAGACCACGAATCAAAATAAGATCTAGTGTGTGGCCTAGGTTATGAGTAGGAGAAGAGACACACTACAAAATTGAGCGAGTCAATGAGACTCTTAACATTTTTAACCATAGCTTTAGAGGGGCAGCAGACATGGATGTTAAAATCCCCCAGAACCAACAGTCTATCACAGCGTGACACTTGATTTGACTGAAAGTCTGAAAACTCATGAATAAACGTTGTACTAACTTTGGGGAGTCTGTAAACCAGGATGCAGATAAGAGGACCATTGAGATCGATATGCAAGAGTTGTGCCTCAAAACTAGAAAAGGCATCTACAGAGAGTAGTCGACATTTGAATGACTTCTTGAAAATTGTAGCTAGACCTCCACCAGGTCCATTTGGCCTGGGAGAGCTATAAAAAGAACAGTCAGAAGGAGATAGTTCACCCAGAGATGAACGGTCATCAGGTTTCAGTCACAAACAGAAAACCCAAGGCGTGAGATGAGAAAAAGTTGTTCAATGTTTTATTTAACAATGACCTAGCATTTCCTAGAGCCATTTTCACTGAAGGCTGAACTATTGCAGAGCAAATAGTTGCTGGCGGTAGAGCCCTGAGTGGTACATATTCCAGAGAATGGTGATTTACAAAGTTTATATTTCCACCCTCTCTGCATGTTTTTTTGCGTACAGTCGGCGAGAAGAGGACCAGACAACGGGGCTAGTACATCCATCAGCTGAGGTAACTGAGGTAGTGAGCCCAGTGCAGTGTTTGCGAGAACCCCGATACATGTAGCGAGGCTGGCGAGCGATACCAAGAGCAACGCAGTGATTATATAGACTAATTCAGAGTAGACGTCACAGTTACGTCACTTGCAGCTGCGAGCACAAAGTGGTTGCAGAAAAACATTGGGAACAAGTGGAGGTACATGCGTAAAATCCATGGAATAAAAGAAAAAAATATTTTTGTGCCTTTTGATGTCAAGATCGGAATGCAAATAATT